TGCCGCGAACCGCCTGAAACCCACCCCTGGACATTACATGGATGATAGAGAGATACGAGAGAAATAGCCTTGTGTGTTTTATGTATTTGAATTATGTGAATGCTTATGTGAGATCAGAGTTAATTCAGGGTTCCCAAACCTCTGGTCCGTGGACCAACATCGGGCTGTGGCATGCAAGAAACCTGGCCACACAAACAAGCAAATCCCCATCCGTAGGCAGTATACAAAACCACATCCCCTCTAGTCCATGGAAAAAACTCTCTTAACTGAACTGGTCCTGGTGTCCAAAATGTTGGAGCCACTGAGTTAATTCATTCAATGGATTAATAACTCAATAGGAAGCAGGAAAAGAAGATGAATCTGTTTTCACCATAGAGTGTAATGTTGTCACGGTCATATTCTTGAGATGTCAATAATAATAGGATCAAGGCATAGCCCTTTTTTAAGTATTGTGGTACCTTCTGCGGATAAATTTGATCACATTCTGGGTTGGGACAAAGGAAGAACTTGCTTACTGTTGATTGACCTCATGCTCAGCTGGATGGGAGAATTACATAAGATGTATGAATATGTTAATCAAATAGGTCAGTTTTTGAGAGGACAAAAGAAAAAAAACTGGATGCAGAAGAACCTCTGGTCACGACCATAATTCGTTCCATAACTTTGGTCGCAAACCGATTTGTTCATGACCAGAACCTAATTTTGGAAACTTGGTGCTTACAAAAAAAATGGCATGGAAGGGGAAATTGGCCGCAAAAAAAAAAAGTGAATTTTTTGATCGGAACCCGATTTGGTAGTGGTCAGAAGTGTTTGTGACCAGAGGTTCTATTGTACTTGCTTTTTATTTGCTATGATAGGGTCTTAGAAAGTGATGGCAGCTGTAGCTGCATGTTTCTTTTTTCTTCTTCTTATGCATATTCAACTTTTCTTCTTCCTTTTCTTGGTTGTAGAAACTATAGTTTGCCATTGTCTACCAAGAAATCAGAAGTGGAAAAGGAAGCACATAAACCTGTGTTTGTTTAAAAACAAAAACAAACAAACAAGGAATACAAAATAGATGGTCACAATCTTAGGGCATTTCCTATAACCTCTCCCAAAATTGCAGAAGTTCTTGACCAAGCAAGATTTCATTCAATTTGCAATAAAAAAAATTATGTCTTGCCCCTCCCCGGGGACATTGTGGTCACCAGCTTGCCGCTCAAAAGCCATCTATGGACAGGCAGCAACAGAAATGGCATTAACTGCTTTAAAGTGAGCTTAAGGAATCAACCACAGTAGGTCTGGGACAGCCTCTAATTGTGGGTAAGATGAAAGGAGGAGATGAGAAGTCACTCAGTGAATACAACAAAGCAGGGATTTCCTGCATCCACGCTCACATTTTTTAAAATACTTACCTTCATATTTTTCTCCAACATTCAAAAAGCTTCAAACAGAACTGGGGGAAAAACTCATTAAAAGCACCTTGCTATTTTTCAGATGTGTTTTTGTTTGCTATCAATTTGGAATTTTTTTCATAGGACCGAAGGGAAAAATGATGAAAACACAACTAGAGAAATATATATATATATATTTGGGTGGGTCCTTGTTTAATATTCTTACGCTTTCCTCTTCAATTTGGATGGTATATTTCTTTCCCTATCCTAAGAAAAACACATTAGTATTTTTTATATTGCTAGAAATATTAGTAACTAGAAACAACCTAGTAGAAGTAAACTATAGAGAAAAATGATGGATGAGCCTTTCTTTCTTTTTGACTTAGTGACATGTGAAAATAAAGTGCTCTAGTGTTATCTCAGTGACCCCTTGAGGTGGTCTACAGGAAGCCAGATAACTTTAGTCCTTAAAAAAAAAATTCAAGGAAGAGAATTTAAAGAGTAAAAACAGCAATTTCAAATTTTTTGACCTTTCTGAACTGCAAAGTGTGCCTGACAAATTCTGCCTCTTCCTGCAAATAGCTTGCAGAGAGTGATGACAGTACTCTTTCCCGAGGTTTTGGCCAAATAGAATAATGAACAATTCCAGACTAGTTCATAAAAATCATCCTATAAGTTCCTGGCCAGGCAGATTGTATTTCCCACATAGTAAGAATTCACTATTCATCTTTATTTTTCCCCAGAGGCTAAAATGTTTTGTTTATACATATTGACAGTGAGTCCATGTTTACAAATTCAGAATTTACAATGGTGTTTTCCTAAGTTAGCAACTATTCTCCATGCAATGTATTTAGTTCTTTGAATTATTTAAATACAAATTGTGACGAAGCTTCTGAGATAAGAGTTCCTGATAATAGTTAGTGATCTTGTATAGATAATACTTGTCTCAAACAATGGAGATACAAACTCAAAACAATAAGTGGAATTCTCAAGGTGTGAATTAGCTAGAATATCCCAAATACTAAAATGTGTCAAGAACTATATGTAAACGTAACAGCCAAATCTTCATTTATAGAGCTATGTGAACGTGAAGTTTGGCATAAATAAGAGATATGTGTAATTACTAAATAGTAGAGTAAAGCTAAATATGTAATTAATTGCTTAGCCAGAGATGAGTCAAGGTTGAATCATATAAAAATGCCTGTTGTAAGAAAAAATTGTGGAAAATATTAATAAGAATTCCAGATTTTGAGATTTAGGACATCATGGTTTTTGGGGCAGGCTTCAAGTTACCTCACTGGCACTTATTCTTTTTTCCTCAGAAAACTTGTTTCTCCGTTTTATTACCAAACTCTTATAGTTTTGTGTCCCGTTTAAATATTTGTTTAATTGAATCAAAAGACGGAACTGTACTGAATTTGTATCTCTCTTTCATTTTGCCTTTTCTTATTAAAATTCATGGAACTGACACCATTGCTTCTCCAAGATGACATTTTAAAAGTTGTGACTACTTTCTTTCCTAACAGCATTTAAATCATATATTATTTTGAAATCCTTTCCTGAGATGGTGCTTCTGACAAGACTTCTTTTCTCTCTCTTCTGTTTTCCACTACAGTGAGGAGAGGAGATGTTCTGGCAGCATGGAGTGGCATTCGTCCCCTTGTGACGGATCCCAATTCTAAAGACACACAGTCTATATCTCGAAATCATGTGGTGCATGTTAGTGACAGCGGTCTTGTGACTATCGCAGGTACTAGGTTGTTACTTATAATTCTTTTCTTTCTTGTTAGAATTATTTCTTAGTGATATGAAGGAAGCTGGTCAGATACATATGCTGAGGTTCTCGGTTCTGAAACACTAGAAGAAGAGTTGGAAAACCGATGCCCTCTAAATAACATGGATGACAGATCCCATCAGCTTGATCTAGTAAGGGTGTTGTTGGGTTAGGGCTGTACGATAGAAATATTTTGTTCTAAGAGCTTTTTCTTTAAGATTTTAGTCTGTATGTTTTTAAATAGAGGCTTAAGGAATCAATCTTTGTACACTATCTGTATTTGTTGATACTCCCAGGTGGGAAGTGGACAACTTACCGCTCAATGGCCCAGGATACAATTGATGCTGCAGTAAAATCTCATAACCTTCAGGCCGGTCCCTGTAAAACTGTAGGGCTGCTCCTGCAGGGTGCAGAGGGCTGGACCCCTACTCTATATATCCGTCTGGTTCAAGATTATGGACTTGAAAATGAGGTGAGTTTGTTGTTTATTCAGGTTAGTAGAACCACTTAAATCTGCAGAATTCCATGCTGAAGGGTATGGATGGAATGGAACTTTCTTGCCTGCTTGTTTGCCCGTAAAGGCTCTCTCTGAAGTTCCATCCCCTTGAATAGTATGGAATAGAGGCAGGGGAATTATTCACCCCAAATGAATGGAGGAGGTTTCTATAAACATGATTGTGAACCGTAACATAAATGGAGACCATAGGGAGCAAGTTAAATCCTCCAAGTTGTGACTCTGCCCTGAAATCCCCACGACAGTCAGTTGGGGAGTGCTCTGAGGACAGCAAAGTAATCAAAAGAAATGGGATAAAGAGGAAAGGTGATTGAGAAGGACTATTGTAGAAGGCAAGGAGAGGATGAGACAAACACTTGATGGAAAGATAGTGGCAAAAGATTATGTTAATCAAAATTCTTCACATGTTGCCTTAACAGCTCAGTACAGATCTTATTTCATTGGAAGAAGGGTTCTTTAAAAAAAAAGAGAGCATCAAATCTATATATATATATAAAAGCCAAGTACCACTCATTCATCACGAAATCTCCAGAACTGTAAAGCCTACAAACTTGAAATTTGGCACATATGTTCTGCTTAGCTTCTAGGTGCTCGCAAAAGAAGGATTTTTTGAAATGACCATCAGATCTTTAGTATTTCTTATACAGTAATTAATACGCTCTGATGTTAAGGAGTTAGAGCTTCTACTCCACTCCCCACCTGAAAAGAACTCTGTTCCAACTGCTGGTTGCCTCACATTCCATTACCTCAGTTCAAACTGGCAGACGTTCCACTCCTTCACTCAGTAGCGGTCTGGGGCTCTTTACAGTACTAAACATTGGTACCTTACCAAAATGTCTACGCTTTTCACCTATGGAACTACTTCTGGACTCAAGGCGATGGGAGCGATATTCCCATACAGTATGTGTTTCAATCACTGACCACCACTGAGCCAACGGATTGTGAACCGAATTTCTCCTGCATAGCCTGATCACATAGTTTCGTCGCAATTTATAGTTATCTATAAATCATGTTATTGACCACTTTTTAAATTTTTAATTCTTCATAGACTGCATGTTTATTATTATT